AATAAAAATGACAAAAACACAACAAAATTGCTAAAACTTTAAAAATAAAATGAAAATGGAAAATATAAAATTTAAAATGAATTTATAATATAAAATATTCATAAAAACTATAATAGTATATAACAGATATTAAAATAACATTGGTGCTCTACCACCTTGGTCTAAGTTAATTCATTATTAAATATGATGAAATATATAAACTAAATTAGGGCTGTCGCGATTCGTCGATTTTATTAGACTATTCGATTTTTTTAAATCCTTGACTTCATTTTGCTCGCATCGACTAACCGGCAAAATACCGGAAGTGGCGCATTTCACATTATTAGTCTGTTTTCCGTAAAATGTACCAACAATCACATTAAAAAAATATACACTTTTTGATATATCATAAAAAAAAAACAGGTATTACATTACGTATTTCATGGCACACTCGTTTTATGCGTATTTGGCGCCACCTATTGTTGTGGGTGTATTATTGACATGTCAAAGTCTAGACCCTGAATATAAGACGACCGCGTTTTTTCAGATGTATTTCCAAGAAAAAAACACTGTCTTATATTCGGGTAAATACGGTACATTAGCTCTATTGTTTATAATACATTATGTATTTTAACAGTTTTGTTCAATAAAACCATATGGTTTCTTGCTTTTGATACTTTATTTAAAAGCCTCATAATAGCCTCATTACTATTATATATGTATTTTAAGTCATTTTAAAGGCTATTGTCCACTTACATCTATCTATTTTTATTACCACAAAAAAATTAATTATAATTATAGGGCCCTATGAAATCCGTTTTATTTCCAAATTCATTTTTTTTCTATACTCTGTTTTAATGGTTAAATTAAATTTTATTAATCAAAAAGCCTGTCTAATTAATTGAGTTTTACAGTTTTATCTTTACCAAATTCTGTTTTCCATTATTTTCTGGATTCCATTCTATCAAACTTGAAGGCTTTGTAAATATATTTAAAAAAAACACTTCCTTCATTTCACAGATGGTGTAACTGTGAATTAACAGCCTGTCAGTAATAATACCAGCTAATTAACACCCCATAACCAGGAGCTTCCCAAAGCTTTGATAATGAGCGGATGATGAGATTTACATGAGCAGATATCTGACAAATCTGATGGGCATAAACAAGGCACACGCTGAGAGCACGTCAATCACGCCAGGACAGATTCAGCGCACAGGTGAACTGAGATACTGGTGTAGTAATACGAGCCTGACTCTTAGTCAAGTGCTGCCCATTTACAGTTTTGCATTCCTCTGTTGACACACAACCCAGCGGTGTACCGTGCAAGTATGCATACTTCTTAATATTTACACATGGAGCGCTGAGGAAACAACAGATGCAAACATGAAAGACCCTGTTGTGCATGACATTCCTTTAATTCTATATGTTCTTATTTACTGAAAATAAATTAAATAAGCTGTATAATGTCACATGAATCACAGCAGGCTGACCTGAAACGCTTTGGTTCAGCAGGCTAGTGAAACATTTGCAGTAATGCATTAACTTCGAGGTCCAGCCCTAAAATGCAAAGACAGAGTGACTGTGTTCAAGTCCTGATACGCCAGAAGACTTGTGTGGACGTTCTTACAGCGGGTCATGTGACTAAAGAGGCTTCGCCTCATCCACCTGTCATCAGGTGACGAAATCAGCCACAGATTTCAATGCACTGAAACTTTTGACAAATGCATGATTTGCAGTGATGAAATATGGCATGCAACCAACTGGCAAGCTTGTCTTCATAACTAAACAGGTGTTTAACATGTAGATTATTTTACCTTTAGATCATTTACCTAAAATAACCCCAACACAGGACAAGACTATAATTAGGCCTGTCATCATAACTATAGTATACTACAATATTTGCATGAGTTTCAACAATGCCTTACAGATAAAACAAAAGGTAACACACCCATCCACAAAATCATCAGGTTCCCACACTTCTCACTAACTGATTTCTATGACTTCTCCTGTTCATGTTCATGAGTCCTCTATCCATAATATTTCCTTCTCCAGTGAAAAAGTCGTCTGGTCTGAATCAGGGGAGAAATCTGCACAGATCAAGCACCGTTTACAAGCCAAAACAGTCCAAAACAGCTCTAAACTAATATGTGGCTGGATTTTGACGAGAGAGACATCCGGAGATGGGCTTTTTCACTGGAGGAAGTGTTATTATGGATTATGGACTCATATTTTAGCAGGAAGTGACGGTTTGACGTTAAAAACGTCTTAATGATGGATTTGCTTCTTACAAACATGCAGCTTTTGGCTTCTCAAGACATTAACTGCTGGACTGGAGTGGTGTGGATTACTTGTGGATTATTGTGATGTTTTTATCAGCTGTTTGGACTCTCATTCTGACGGCACCCATTCACTGCAGAGCATCCATTGCTGAGACACTGATGCAATGCTACATTTCTCCAAATCTGACGAAGAAACAAACTCATCTACATCTTGGATGGCCTAAGAGGGTGAGTAAATCTTCAGCAAAGTTTCATTTTTGGGTGAACTATTCCTTTAAATGTCACTTACAGACAAAACAGGAGTTTACTTTAAAACTATAATTTGAGGATGAAATGGCACATCCACAAACAAAATAAGTGTCATGCATGACTGTTATCTTGCCATCATAACCAACTATACCACAAAGTTTGCATAGGTTTAAACATTGCTTAAAGGCCAACCAAGTTTGTCACTTTAAAATGTTGTGCTCAGAAACTGAAATAACATTCACAAACAAGACCAGTCTCATAAAGTCAGGCTTATCTTGACCAACTTTATCAACTAACTGGAATGGAAAAAATTCTAGCTTCTTCAACAAAAAAATTCTTCTGTCCAACAAAGTTGTTGCAAGTTTGTTTTACCCAGTAAACTATAAATGTGCAGTTTAATTACAATATTTCACCTCATTGCTTGTTTTGGATTGACTTTTCTAATTTTCTAGAAAGAAAGTTATCCAAAACTTGTATATTAGTCAATAAATTGGAAAAGAAAACTACTTGAAAATGGACCCTTAATTAGGCTTGCTGCGATAGACGGTGTTTTCGGTTATACTGGTGTTAAGCCGCAACACCGGTTACGTCATTTGCCTACCCACCGCCCCCCACGTCGTTTAGATTTTTTTATAGTAACAAATCATTTAGCCTAGTTCAGTTAGAGGACAGACACTTTTAAAAACTAAACGCTCAATGCAGCGTGCCGAACCGTGCACCACGGAGCAGGAGTCAGATTTAATTTATCACGCGAGGAGAGCGAGTCGAGCTGACTGACACGAGTGAGGTGAGAAAGACAAGACGATGGCAGAAGGTGCCTCCAAGCTTTCTTATTCGTTTCTAATAAACGTTCTATGTTTCTTATTTATTTGGTTCCACAGTGTTTGCTGATTTTCAGTTTATATACCTATTTAAACTTTGTGTAGCATAAGTAATTCGTTATTTTATTAGGCATATACAGTATGGTGTATTTTTATTCGTTTTGTTAATAAAAGTTCTGAGTTTGACGTTGTTGTTGCTTGAATTGAATCAAAGCAGAATTGCCGCTAATTTGAAAGTGAAAGTAAAACGCGCACGGCGCTTTTTCAAGCTATTTGAAAGCCAAGAAATCCGAGGAAAAGAGGAAAAACTCAAACGAACAATTGCTTGACGCCGAACTGCGGCAATTCAATTGCTGCTAATTTGAAAGTGAAAGTAAAATGCTCACGGCACTTTTAAAAGCCATTTGAAAGCAAAGAAAAGAGGGAAACTCAAACGAAATAACACCCCAACGGTGATACCGGTATTGCCGGTGTTGTCACGCGTCGATTAACCGGTGGGAAAATTTCCTCACCGTCACAACCCTACCCTTAATAAGTTTATAAAGTTTACGTACATTTTCAAAGAAAACACCTTCTTTTATTTTTTTTAAGAAAGATGTTGACATTTATTTGAATTTTTTAAAAAAAACTGTAAAAAATAAACTGCTTGAAAAACTATTATATAGTTTTAAAATATAAATATAATACGCTTTAGTTCATTACAAAATGTATTATAAATAATATTTATTTGTTGTCTCTATGTTTGTAAATGTTGTCTTTGTTATTAATGCCTGTATGCATGTACATACATATATAAAATCATGTAACTTGCGTCCACATCAGTTCCATTCTCCCATAAAGGCAACAAATACCACCAAAACTGGTCTACATTATATTTAAATTGCTTATTTTAGTAAACAATAAACATATGATGACAGGTTAAAATAACATGACTAATACAACAGGCTTCTCATCATATTAACAAATTCATGACCTGAACAACAAAATACAATACAACTAAAACAGGCGTTCTTTTGAAAACGTTTGTTTTTTTTAATATATATATAAACACATGATCAGATACTGAAATAACGTAGTGACACACAAAACAAGTGTCTGTTATCAGGTATGTCATCCTAAACAACGCTTTGCTTGTCCCATACACTCGAAACTGGCATTTTACTTCATCATACGTGCCTTGTTAGTGTAAATACATGATCAGAAGCTCGAATGATACAATCACACACACATATGACAGTATTAGAGTTTCACACACATGCCACGAAGCATCTGTCATTTTCCACCAATTATCAACATCAACAAGCTGAAGCACGCAGAAAACACACAAAAGCCCCTCATCTCCACCCGCTGCGCCTATACTATACACACAGCTGTCACACACACATTACTCGTGTAAACACACACTTATGGTGTAAATACAGCTGATGTTAGCTGAGCTAGCTGCAGACTTAACTTAACTGTCAGCGCTCAGAAACATCTAATCTCATCGCATTAATGCGTGTAATCCCGCACACAAACTGCGTGTGTGTTAATGTGTGTAACCGTGTGTGTACTTCAGTGTGTGTGTGTGTGTGTTTACCTGTTCAGGTAACACACGGCTAAGCTAGCAGCAGCTCAACACAGCGAAAACACACCAAGCGGACTGAGCAGTGAGGGGAAAATCGTGACTTACCTCTGCAAACATTATTTAAAATGTAAAACCGGAGGTCGTTTGGTTTATCCCCGCCACATTTTTAACGGTCTCCTTTCTTCTCGCGTTCATAAACCGAGGCGCTTCGGGACTGCGCGCGCGCCCTGCCTGCAGCCGCCATGAGCGCGAGCCCGACAAGCCAAGGAGTCTCCGCGCAAAAGCTAGAGCGCACACTCCGGCGCGCTTCTGAGGGGAGGTCACGTGATGAGAAACGCGGGCTCCGATTGGTTCGAAGGATTCTATCGCCCGGAAGATTAGCCTACGCGGCTGAAATCTTCAGAAATTAGCCTATATTAAACTTCTGTGTATGAGTACATATTTTTTAATATAGTTTATAACTATATTTATAATATTAGTCGTGAGTCCTTTGGTTTTCTATTTCGCCTGCGCTGTCGCTCAACTATCCAATGGGCGGCGCTGTAGAGTGGGCATACTAGTCAAAAAAGTTTACCTGTAGCGTAACCCGTGATTGGTCAGCGTTTGATGACACACCTATCCTACCCGTGACTCGTGCTTTATTATCTTTGTTACATTTAAATAGCACAGACCCTGTTTAGCGTCGACGATCTAAACGTAGTAACGTGCCTGGGCTTGTGGAGAAATATTAATATAGTCACAAACAAATCGTGCGTCATCTGAACGCATTATGCTGGTCCAGCACTGAGAGCAGTTTTGACTACATACAGTGCTCTCAACATGTGACACAATAAAACGTGTTCTAGTGCACAGCTGGAATAAATGCATTTATTGCCTTTTTTGTCAATTCTCTAAAGTATTCCACAATATGTTGCCAATTTTCTGTGTAAGCATTGCAAGAGCATGAAGTAGGCTATGTTGCGTGATGTGAAAGTTTCATTTTTTTCTTTTTATTTATTTATTTATTCAATTTAATTCGAATGCATCATGCATGTGCATTTTTACCTGTTTCCAGTTGCGCAAAACCTCGGGCGGGTCATAGCCTACTGCATATTTCGATTCCATTTCAAAATCCAGTTAAGCTTATTCATCATAAGACTTGATTTGATCAGACCAAGACAGAAATAAGTAGCATGTTACTGTATTTCCTCCATGTCAGTCCCACAACAGGATAAAGACCGGTTGACCCCAGGCCAAATGTTCCTCGTGACGTCACAGTGAATTATCCCAGACAAACTTTGGACCTTATTTAGGTTTATGATCATAAGTCAGTACAGAAAAACAGATCATTAAACTGATTAAATTGATTAAATTGATGCTGATAAAGCTGTTGTTGAGCACACAGATTTAAAGGGGTCATATGATGCTATTTTAAAGATCATTATTTGGTGTATTTGGTGTAACAGAATATGTTGACATGCTTTAATGTTCAAAAAACACATTATTTTTCAAATACTGCATATTATTGTAGGTCCTCTATGCCCCGCCTCTCTCAAACGCTTCGTTTTCTACAAAGCCCCCTCCTTTGACAAGCGCAGTCCGCTCTGATTGGCCAGCTGACCCAGTGCACTGTGATTGGCCGAACACCGCAAGCACGCGTCGGAAATGTAACGCCCCTTACCATAATCGCGAGCTTCA